AATAAATCCATTTTTGCTTCAGTTTTCCATTGAGATTCCTTTTGCTTGCATTTCCTCACTGTCTTTTATCTAGTATCTTAGCTATATAAGCCACAAACTCAATTGTAATCTCCACTCTGTTGTTGCATTTATCAGCTTCAAAATTCTAAAAGTTTTGCTGTCTTTTTAAGCGACAAAAAACATCCTTGAGTTTTCACTACCACCATTTTTCTTCACTGAATATCGCCATAAGAGCTGTCCTCCAGTATATAAGGATGCTGCACCCAGAATTTCCTTCAGGATTTACTGACTTGGGTTCAGAAGTCTGCCATATCACCACCATTTCCCTTACAAAACAGAAGTAGGAAAAGTATCCTTTCCTTGCCACTGCTGTTCACACTTTTTATACTGACATTGTAGACTGCAAACTGAAGGAGCTGTACTTCTGCTGTACACTAATCTCCTTAATTTGCAAAATGACACACAGTCAATTACAACATTTTAAAGCTGTAGAGGGTCAGTACAAGAGAAACTGAGAAATTCTTGGTCAACAAGTATTTAAATTTATAATAAAAACACTTTAGGAACTTGGTTCATTTTAGAGAGTTAGTTTATATGACCATTGCAACAAACAAGTTTTCAATTTCAGAATGCTGAAAGCAACCATTTCACATATTCCTAGGGAGAAGGGGGAAAAAACAAATCTGCATTTCTGTGTTGAGTGTGTTTTCCAACATTCATTTTTCAACCAGTAGTTTTAATAATACAAAGCAGCATTCTAAAGTAATGCTCAAGGACGTAAATGGAATCTTAAATTAATTCCTCAGTATGGATTCTGTGCACCTCAAACATCTCATAGATAATACCTCCCTTCAGGAAAACACATCCTATTAAAAATAGAAATTGCTTTTATCAGGTTCTAAAGGATATGGTGTCTGCCCAGTTTTGTCCTTTAGCAACTAACACTATCTACAGAGGCATTATTAGCACAAGAAAGTGCCCCATGAACAGACACTTTGAGCAGTATATGGAAGATGTCCATTTTTGACATCCCCTGCAAAGTAAGACCTTTACTGAACGTTCCTGTAGAATCTAAATATTTCACTTCTAGGGGAGAAGGGGACAAAGATATCAGAACACCCTGAAATACTGTACTCCAAGTGCTGTATCTTCTAACTTGCTATTGACTCCAGATATGGAGCACAAAATTAGATCCCATTCAATTGGCAGCCCACAGTGTATACAGAGCATTTAAAAACCCCCAAAAGCTTAGTACTCAAAGGTTCTTTCTGCAATATCTATCTGTACTAACCTCTTGTTCATAAGAAAATGCCCCAGCAGCTGGCATAGCCAGCAAGTCCTCCCTCCTCTCGTGCATGGCTTTCAGGAATGCTGCTATATTGAAAAGGCAAAGTTATCATTGCCTAGTGAAATGCAATCCAGCAACAAAATACCACTCAAAATGGGCTGAAAGGAGAACAAGTGTATGGATTTTCATAGGCTTAGGTCAAGGTGTACAGGCTGACACTGTGCTATTTAAAGAAATCAGACAGTGCTCCTGTCTCATATTTTATACTTGCTTGAATCTTGCCCTAACAGCTGAATGTTTTTTAACTGACCAAAATCAACAGCTTAGCCAAAAAACCCACACAAACCCTTAAAAGTCACTTAGCACTTTTCAGCTACCCTTAGGGTAAAAAAGCCAGAAAGAAAGTAACCTAAATATTACAAAACATTGAAAGATACACTATACTAAATTACTTTCAAATTTCTAGAAGTATGAGTGCAAGTATATTCAGTGTTTGCCTCAGTATGGGCACTTTCCTAAATATGGACTTCTTTTGGCATAGTTCAAGCTGATGTAAGTCTGGTATCACAAGAGAGTCAAGGCAAACATAAAAATTATACTGATTTGATCTTTTATGATCACTTGAACTTTCTCCAAAGAACCAAGAAAGTGTATTTTAACAATAAAATATGATCTAACGGCAGATGATGCTAGAACAGCCTGTAGAGCTTTTTGCCACCACCTCCAGCCTCAGCTGGCTGCCTCTGCACCAACTCCTGTTCCCAGTCAGGTCCCTCAGGCAGCTAAGCCTGCAGAAAACAAGCTCTATATGTGAAAAGTGGATGTTTTCTGTGTGTTTAACTCCCTGAATGAGATCACCATGAGTCAGGTGAGTACCACCTGCCAGACCAGTAACATGGGCGGCAATGCCAACCAGCAGGTGAAGAGGGGAACGAGACTGTCTCCTTGTGGTAACAACAATCCATCAGCTCAGCCCAAGGACAGGACATGTACTGCAAGTCTGCAAATTCACGTTGTTCACCACTTCCATTACCCTGTCGTGCTTTTGCTGGCTACTGCTGATATTAAAAATAACTTAACTAAAAATACCATAGTAATTTTAAGGTTTTTAAATAACACATTTGGTGTTCCAGCTTCTTTTAAAAAAACTCTTATTTAAGACACTAGTAAATTAAGATTTAAACAATGTTCTTCATATACCTCTCTAAGCAGGTACTCTTGCAAATATCTAATCTGACACGTTTCTGTTTTTTTCATAACAACATTTGTTAAATAAATTACAGAGGTCATTTCCATGGCTCCAAAGAATTTTACTAATATTATGAAAAATATTCTTGGAGAATATTTTTTTTTTTGAAGCAAAGAAAAAAGCGTAACATGACTTTTATGGATGTCACCACCTTGGTCTACATCCAAACACATGTTAAAAATAGTACGAACAGAATTATATTAAACCAAGACAGTACAAGGTGTTTTGATGCAAAACTTAGTTTACATAAAATAGAAAAATATTTTTTCCAGCAGATGTAGATTAAAACAGCTAATAGAAAAACACCAAAAAAACTGCTCCCCAACTTAAGAAGACGCTGAGGAGCTGGAATTCATGTCTTATGCAAGGAACTGATTCCAGCAAAATCATGCCTGAGGTACCTTGCTTAGTAGCAAAAATCACAAGTATGAGCATATGAATAAAAATTACAGATATATAATTTTTTTCATTTGCTGAGGATTTAAACTGGTTACTAAATTATTATATAAACCTTGAAGTTCAAGTGCAAACAGGACACATCCAGAATAACATCAGGTTTTTTCTTACCATGTTCAAGATACAACTATTTGAAGTACCTGAATTCTTCAGGAATCCACCAAAAATTTTAAAAGGGCAAAGGATTCTGAATATATCTTTAAGTCACCAGGGTATAAAAGCAATTTTCAAAATGGCTTCATTTGTCTTACTGACGTATCCCAGAATCCATCCGCTTCAATTTATTTGTAGATCAAGACCACATGAACATTTCACAAATTTCTGTTCTTCTCCCTTCTCAATTATGCCAACATCAGTTAAGCACTATCACTCCAGAGCCATGAAAAACAGTCTTTCTTGTAACAGCAACAATCATCTCCCAAAATTCCAACAGGAAAGCCAGAGACATTACACACCAGCTTTGCTGCAACACATCAACCACAGATAAGAACTGTAAAGTAGCAGCACTAGTCACGCAAAACACCTGGTGCTGCAGGCTGGAAATAGCAACACCAGCAAGAAAATTCTTGAGGGTATTTGTTATTATTACCTTAATTACTTAGATCTTATATTTCCTATCAAAATATCAAGTTTATGCATGGCATTTGAGTGTATATATATATTTAAAAGTTCCATGAACGCATATTTCCCCTAAACATAGTTGGATATAGACTTTTCAGGTGTTCCTTCTCAAGCTGTAGCTAATTACATCTGAGCACTCTGCCAAAGCAACAGCTGCCTCCTTAGGAAAGCAGTAATTGTAACATGAAAATCAGGGTTGTACATGCTTCCTGTTTTTTGGTCGTGGCTACTATTCCAAAGGTGAGCCCTCTCCATCTCCCCAGTATACCAACATCTGGAATTTAACAGAAAAACTGACAATAAACACCAAAGAATAAAGTAAAAAAATGATCCATACCAAAATCTGAAACCCGTTCCTGGCAACTGTTGTTAGGTATTACAACAAAAAATAGATAAAACTTAGTTCAGAAGATACCTGTGTCTTCTATTCCAAGCCTGCCTTAGTTTATTCATGTCTTTCAAAAAAAATTTGCTCTACATCCAAAAATTAATCCAAGCCCCTATTTACTATTAAAGACTCGAGATCAATCTATGTCTCACCCACTTAGTGACTGTAAGTTTCTGGACACGCAGCCCTATTTCGACATACTGGGGCAACTGCGGAAAAGAACCTAACAAAAGCAGTGGCTCTATACCCAGATTACATTACATTTCCTACCATACCTACTAGTGATGTTTGGTGTATCAACCATCACGTTTGTTTGTCTCGTGCCAAATACTCTAATTACAATGCAAGTGGCAGCGTACCCACATCAGTATTCTTTTTGTAACCCGTGGTAGCAATTCACTTAAGTATGAGGAGCGATGGAAAACTTCAAGGGGAAAAGGGTAACTAAGACAAGGCAACTGGCTGCCCTTGTAATCCGCAGTCAACTTAAAGAGCCACTTCAGGTCATGAGAAATTTCAAGATGATAACTCTTTTATAGTTCTCTTCCCACGGTCAGAAAAAATACCACATGGAAAAGAAATACTCCATGAAAAAACTATTCTTTCACTAGCTTTTATGGTAACTTGCACGTAAGCCAAACAATGTACAAGGGTATCAATCACTTTCCTACTTAAATGCCTTTTTTCAAAGTCATGCACAAACTTATAAGAATGTTCAACCAACATATATCAGCTGTCTCACGTTCTGTTTTCGGATATTGATATCTGCAAACCTTTTAACCGGATCTAGTATCATTGTCTGAGCTCAGATGACTCAGATAAAAACAATGTGAAAACATAGTTTGTTTTCATGTTTAAAGCCTCAATTGGTCTCCTGCAACAATAACAGGAAGAGCTGTACGGATCGATACGCAAGATTACTAATAGAGACTTTTCTTGTCCTACCCAATAACACGCACGTGGAATTTTCCCAACCAGGTAAAACATGCCACACTTACCAGATCCCTGTGAAGCACCCAGTTTGCATGGAGGTAATGGATTCCATCGAGGATCTGGTAGAGTAGGGATTTAACCATGGATCTTGGCAGCTGCATGGGCTTTTTATTTGCTTTTGAGGCACGGTGAAACTTGATAATATGCTAGAAACAAAACAAGTAAAAACATGAAATAAGTTAGATATGTAAAAAGGTTGGTTGTTGTGTTTTCTTCTGGTTTATTTGGTTTTTTTTAACTAGTAACATTAATGGAATGAAATACAAAGTTTGTTGAATTTTGCAGTTAAAAGTAATAGGGAAGTGTTCACAATATTCTTAAATTGTTTCTATTCTCTGAGTTGCTTTAAAAAACAGCTGTCAAGCTTTTGTTAGTATCTAAATACTGGTTACTTACCTCCAGTAAAGGGTCCTAGACATTCTCCCTCCTCCCTCCCTCCTTTCTCCCCATGTGGCATCCTCTTAGCAGCTAAGAGCAGAAGCTTTCAAACCAGCAGTATCCACCAGAAGGACCACACTCTGTGCTTTCACACTTCCCCTGCTTGTCTTCAAAAACACCCAGGACAGTATATTTGCAACTACTCTAGTGTTGCCCGCTAAATCAGAATCCCAATAGACAGAGAAGGAATAAATATTTTTAAAAATATTTAAAGAGGGGGAGGGGGTAACTACCAAAAACCCCACACCACAACATTAGAATGAGATCAGATCATGTTCAAACATCTAAAAGTGGTTATCTTCTTGATTCTAAGTGCTGGTTGCATACTTCATTAATGATGACAACAAGCTGGTGGCTCTTAGATTACAGAAGTCAGTCAATCCACTGGAGGACAAATACCACTTGGAAACATGGAATGCAAGAAGGGACCCCAGCATTAATCAGTTGAAGGAATGAAAAATACAATTGAAAGACTGCCAAGATGTCATGAAATATTAATAAACAAATTAATATTTATTGTAATATCACTGTGGAGATAGATTAGGTTTGGTTTTGCTACACTGTACAAGAAATAAATTGGAGTGAGGCCATTCTACCTTTTCAATCCCCAGACAAGGTGGGGCTATGCAAGGCACAAATCCAATCTTAATATACTGTCATTCAACAAACAACTCAATAAGTTCAATCAGATGGAGAAAAAAAATCTTCTTTCTGAAGACAATTCAAAGAAGCATCTTAAATAACAAAATAGTTTCAAATTATGTGCCTTTTGAAAGATGGAAATAAAGGCAGTTTGCATTTTTACTGAAAAGGATTCAAAATGCTAATCTGTAGAGTGACAAGATATCTAATTACTCAATCTTTAAATAGGATTTGTCTAGTTCAAGATCATCCCCCTCCCCAGACTAAAGAGGTAGTCAACAGCTGTGTTTTCACTAGACCTCTGCTCTCTCTTCCACCACCACCACTCCCGTCACGTTTGTCACTACTTTTCCCAATGAAAATGGAAACAAGTTGATGTTTCCTCATGGTAAATGCTATTCCTAGCTGTCACCAGTACTTTAGCCGTTGTCAAACTGGACTTAGCACAGGTATAGACAACACTGTTTAAAGAGAAACAGAAAAGGCAGAAAAACACAAGTAAATAAAAAAAAGCCTGTTTACTCCCAACAACATCCCCACAGAGCCTTCCACTACTACACGTACAATAGCAATGGTTGTGTATTAAAAACCAGTATAAATCAGTTTATCAGTTTTTAATATCCACACGAGGATGAGTAAACAAGACAAGCTCTTAGTACCTCATCCTTCAGTTGTACACTCACTCTGAAAACTGTAAATGGAATGCCTTAAAGAATCACTTCCTTAGAAAAAATTTTTCTTGTCCTGTTACAAGAAGATTCTCTCTCATAACTTCAACTGGGAGTCCCTACCTCCCAGTACCATACAACACTCACTGAACAATGACCTTCATGTGTAATTACAATATGATTTATAATGCAGTAATGATACCATAAACTCCATCAATACCATTAATATATTTATTAATACATAGTATGAAAAAATACAGCCATACTAACAGGCAAAGGTCATACACAGAGACCCATAAATCCAGTCCTGCCCTTTTTCAAGGTGCATGTAATCAATAAAAGGGATTTCTATACCCATTTAAAAACTGACTACCATCCATACAAAACATTATTCCTTATTATAAAGGCACCAAGAAAATAAAACTGAAAAAGGTCTCAGGGGACACAACGGGACACAATTAACCACAGATGTGTTGAGGAAGAACAACACGTCTGGCTCTGCCTCTGGCCCTACCTCAGCTGCTCCAGTACCTCCAGAGGTCAGGCATGTGACAGCACCAGGCTGGCACCCTCTGATTTCTAGCCCTGAGGTCCCATGTGGCTCCCAGAGAGAAAGGCTAAGGAAACAAGCTCCTTTTCTTTAAAGGGTTTTTGAATTGTAGAAGTGCATTAAAACTGATAGTTTTGCTTGAAGCAAGCAATATCACTAGATAAAATCCAATTTCCTGCAAGAGCAAATAAAACTATTGTTGCCAACTCACTCTACCGAAGTTTATATCCATCAAATCACAAACATCACAGTTTAGAGAACTGAACAAAAAGTAAACTAAAAACCTAATGCAGGGCCAAATACCATAGGGAACTGAAAACCTGGATTTGCCCCATGGCATTGGAATGAATCCAGAGTGTTTGTGTCCAAATACTACTCTGAAGAGTTTTCTAAAAAAAGTAGTTCATCCAATTTCTTGTAAGCAACTAGCCCATATGAAGAAAGACCAACACACATAATCAACACTAAACAGCAATTGTAATGGCAAATAGGTGCCGTTGCTGAACATCATCTCTTCTATTGGAGGCAGCAAGCCTAAACTTTCTCTTATTTCTTTATATTTTCAGAAATGTATCTCTATGGCCCTACCACTGGAAGCCTTAATTGTCAGTGTGCACTGTATCAGTCACATGCTACAGAACAGAAACCCATCCACAACGTTATCCAGCTGTAAATTCATTTTAATTAGTTCATTAGAACGCTGTGGATGCAAGCTCTCCTTCTGATATATCTAAAATGCTTCAAAATAAAAGAAAAATGCATGTCATATGAGGTAAATGAAACTGCAAGCAATATTCAAATCTGATCAGCAGGAGTAGCCAAGTCCCATTCCCTTTCTATGCATTCATATTTTCAGATTCCTAAATCTTAAAAACATGCTGAAGCTGACCAGATTCCAAATCCAGTGAGCCAAAAATTGCTAATGCTTTTATATATTTTGTTTTACATTTAAACAAGGCATCAACTTCATGGCAGCATTTTTTAAGTCTGTATTCTAAATTCAATTAATACTTCACTGACCAACATTAAAGTACACATTCATCAGCAGCCTGAAAAAGCAAGGAAGGTATAATTTGCTGTTTGCAATCTCTGGGACTATTGTTTTTATTTCCCAACTGCTTATTCCCAATTATCAACTTGAAAAAATGTAATAAAATTGCATGGAAAACTGGATGAACCAGTATTTCAGTAAGACCATTTTAGTTCTAGCGATGGCAAGGCCATATAAATGATAAAAAATGAAGTGAAATGCAACTAAGCATTTGAAAATAAAATACGGTGGTGACTGATGAAACAAAATTCAATCTAGTAGTTTGTCTGCCTTCTATATTACCTAGTGTATTGAAACTGGTTTGAAAATTGGCTGGTGAAGAACTACATGCATTTTCTAAATCCTTCACCACAAACAAAGTAATGCATAACAACACAGAGCAAATTCAAATCCCTAGTATTTACCCAGCAGTTAAATGAGCATTTGAAAAGATCCTAATTTTAGTCTGCTTCCAGGTCAGTCAGTCTCATGCAAACATACTCTCTCTGTGTTTGTGTCATCCAATTCCCAATTCCAAGAACTGCTGTTCAGTATGACAGAGGTTAAAACAGACAAACAAGTCAGACCTGGAAACTTTTCACAGAAGCAAGAAGCCAGCTAACAGAGGGATTTTATGCATGCCTGACTACACAGAGTTAGTGTGAGCTCCCACCTCAACAGACATGAGATAATCTGTAGAACTCAAGACACAAACCCCTAGAAAATCTGACTACTTGAGTTCTATTGCTTAAGGTCATACTTGTTGCAAAATTACATGCATCTCCATCAAACCGAAATGCAATCATGCCAAATTCGGTTGCCTCTCCTGGCTGAAGCAAACTGTGTGCTCACACACTTTAGCAAAAACCCGGCTGCATTCTGTTCAATCCCTAATTCAGCCTTTGAGAATAAAACAGATTTGTGTCAACCTGCCAGTAAAAAGTAAAGTTATATTTCAATATTAAAGCGATGGAAGCTTGGATACATGTTAAATAAGTGCCAAGGCCAAGAGGAAGATTCATATTATTTGGCTTCCAGTCTCATTTTAAACAAAAAAATTACTTCCATCTTCTCTCTTCAGCAATCAATACCTAAACAAAAGTAACATACTATTGCATATTAAGTGTAAAGCATATAAAAAGACTATGGAAGAACAAATCAAAATCTTAAGGTGGCATCAAAACTAACTTTGAAATTGCTTCCACAATTTTCAAATGAAGAAAGCAAATACGAAACCAATGAATGTGACTAATATTTGTTTGCTCTTCCAAAAACAAATATAGTTTCACATGCCTACTCTTAGGACTCATTGCAGACATGTAAGTTTTAGACCCTAAGAAAATTTTGTCAGTTTACTTATCACAAGCAAAATAAAATAAAATCAAAACAGAAGTGGGTAAAAATATCTCTGTAGTGATCACTTTAGTTTCCAATTTTGGAAGCACGACAGCAACCAACACAAACTGTCCTTCAGAAGAGGAGAGGGAAAAAGGATGCTTCAACAACATTCCCTCTAAACTATTACAGTGTATGGTCATCATCAAGTATGTTCTTTACAACGTCATTAACCAAACTGCCTAATGAAAAACCCTATTCCAAGTGACAAGTGGCCAACACTTTAAATAACAGTGAAAGGAGCTTTAATACACTAACTTTTGCTAATGCCAACTTGCTTTAAATACCTAAGCTTTGAAACACAGAGCAGGCGTGAACAGATTCGGTAAAGTTTTTCTAGGTTTAACTGGGGTCTTTCAAGGGTTTTTTATACCTTTCAGACCTAAATATGTCAAAATAACTCTACACAATAATAACAAAAGT